TATCTGATACTTAGATGGTATCTCCCTGGCCTAATCCTAAATCATCAGGAGCAACAGAAATTCCTGAAAATGTTTTGTAAACTGCATATCATAAGAATTCCTGGGAAATCATAAGCACCTCCCTGAACTGTAGTGTATACACAACAAGAATCAGTTTCCCCTCTTTTGCTAGACTTTTGAATTCCTGAAATAATTCTTCCCATTTCATGGTTATGATTAATGGTATTTAGTATATGGTTCTATGTAGCTGATTCTGTTCTTCAGAGAGCACCAGTTTGTTTGGAAACATTCATTCTGGTGAATAAGAATCAAAATGTGGAGTTTCAACCTTGGTAACATGGAATTGTATAATGAAGTGCTATATTGGTCCTGAGTTTGTTTGTTTTTAGTTTTTAATTTTTTTTTAACTTACATCCAAATTAGTTAGCATATAGTGCAACAATGATTTCAGGAGTAGATTCCTTAATGCCCCTTACCCATTGAGCCCATCCCCGCTCCCACACCGCCTCCAGTAACCCTCTGTTTGGTCTCCATATTTATGAGTCTTTTATGTTTTATGCCCCTCCCTGTTTTTATATTATTTTTGTTTCCCTTCCTTTATGTTCATCTGTTTTGTCTCTTAAAGTTCTCATATGAGTGAAGTAATATGACATTTTTCTTTCTCTGACTGACTAATTTCATTTAGCATAATACCCTCCAGTTCTAGCCACATAGTTGCAAATGGCAAGATGTCATTCTTTTTCATTGCCGAGTAATACTCCATTGTATATATACATACCATATCTTCTTTATCCATTCATCCATCGATGGACATTTGGGCTCTTTCCATATTTGGCTATTGTTGATAGTGCTGCTATAAACATGGGGGTGCATGTGTCCTTTCGAAACAGCATACCTGTATCCCTAGGATAAATACCTAGTAGTGCAATTGCTGGGTCGTAGGGTAGTTCTATTTTTAGTTTTTTGAGGAACCTCCATACTGTTTTCCAGAGTGGCTGCACCAGCCTGAATTCCCATGGTCCTAAGTTTTTAATCACAATTTAAATCTACTAATATTTGAAGTTCATCTATGCAATAAAAATTGCATTAGGTGATGTGGAGAAATGATATACAATAAGATATTATTCATTCCCTAAACACTATCTAGCTGAAAGGATATCATAAATAAGTAAAAACAATTAAAATTTAAAGATACAAAAACAGTTGAAACCTATAAATAGCAGATATACTCAAAAGTGAAACAGATCTTCATGGCTATAGGCTAGGAAAATGCCAATGAGATGCAGGGAAGCAGTTTTGAGATGGTTGGGCACTGGGCTCCAGCAGGGAAAATTAATAAAATACAGATTCCTGTATTTAATAAAAGCATATAGGTGAGGAGTAAACCAGTTTGGCTGCAATACTAGAATACCTAGAGAAAAGGCTAGAATTTAGACTGGGAAAAATTTTGAAGGACCTTGGAGGTCTGATTATGGAGCTTTAGAAAAACTAATGAGGACAAGAGACATGTCTGAATCTTCAGTCAAATACTTGCAAACATAGAAAACATGAACATGTTATTTCTCTGAGCCTCAGTTTCTTAATCTATGAAATGGGAAATTTTGGTAAGGCTGAGAGTTGATGTCCATTAAAACCATTCTGTCAGTGGCAAAACACTACAAATATTATGAAGGTCATTCTTAATCTCCCTACAACTTTCAGTGACTCCAAGATTCATATAGGAGCATTACAAAATCAAAATAATTATTAGTAAAGATTAAATTTGAGGCAGGGAGTACATGAGGAGGAAATGAACTTGGGAGAATCAATTTAAGAGCTCACCACAGTAATCTTGATGTCATGTGGCCATTCTAAACCAGGGGCACACAGAGTGGAAACCAGAGAGGACATTAAGGAACAATAAAGGGGAATTGGAGTAAGAAAGTACCAGAGAGGATTTGAAGTTTTATCACCGGGAGAATGGAAGTATATTAACAAAAATGGAGGGAGAAGTTCTGGTTTTATAGATACTGGTATATACAAATTAAAATCTGAGTAATTATAAGATGTGATGGCTGATGCCAATATATTGGCTGAGAATAGTCTGATTTAGAGAATAAAAACCAAAGTCTTTAGCGAAATGAATCAAATTATTTTTGAAATAGGTGGTAAAAGTGAGAAGAAAAAAGATAATATTAAGTAGTAGTTCCTATATGCTGGCTCTTCACCTACATCATCTTGTCTAATCCCCACAACAACCTAAAAGCACGAATTCTATATCAATTTTGCAGATGAAGAAACAATTCAAAAAGGTCAGGTAACTTTTGTAAGTTCAGCTTCAGCAGGGTGCAGGGAAAAGGCAGGGGACTGCTCAAGGATAGCACCTTTTCCAGGTACCTCTTGAAGGTGCTTCCTTGGCATAAAACCTACCTGGCGGGGGGCCTGAGTGGCTCAGTTGGTTAAGCCTCCGACTTTGGCTCAGGTTGTGATCTCACAGCTTGAGTTGGAGCCCCGCGTTGGACTTTGTGCTGACAGCTCAGAACCTGGATTCTGTCTCCCTCTCTCTCTCTGCCCCTCTGTCACTTGCTCTCTCTCTCTCTCTCTCTCTCTCTCTCTCTCTCTCTCTGTCTCTCTCTGATATAAATATATAAATAGAAATAAACATTAAACAATTTTAGAATGAATGAATGAATGAATGAATAAATAAATAAATAAAACCTACCTGCAGTGTGAAAGGTCTGGGCATTCACTTTTATAGAGAGCCCCAAATGGGAAACTGCACAGGAAAAAAAAAAATTACCCTTCTCTAAAAATGATCTGCTCACAAGCTAATAGAAGATAATCATAATGTCCCAGATCATTATCCTGTCTCAGTAGCCAAGTGACCTCAGATAATTCCCTGAACCCAGTGACTGCAACCCACAGAAGACCCATTTTTACACTACAACCTGTACGCACATATATGTATATGCTACTCGGTGTTATATACTCTGATATTTGTTACAACAGCCTAATCGAATCCTTTTATTCTTTGCTGTTTGGGACCTATTAAACTGATTTATTTTTTTTTCTTTTTTTCTTTCTTTCTTTATTTTTTTTATTTTTTGGGACAGAGAGAGACAGAGCATGAACGGGGGAGGGGCAGAGAGAGAGGGAGACACAGAATCGGAAACAGGCTCCAGGCTCTGAGCCATCAGCCCAGAGCCCGACGCGGGGCTCGAACTCACGGACCGCGAGATCGTGACCTGGCTGAAGTCGGACGTTTAACCGACTGCGCCACCCAGGTGCCCCCCTATTAAACTGATTTAGTTGGTAGTGATCCCAGTTTGGAAAACATTCCATTGCCTCATTTGAATAAAAAAGAGAAATGTCACTTGCCACATTACTTCTCTGGATAAAAAAGCAGTGTAATTTTCCAGTCTGCTCTGTGGGTGGTTCCATTGTTTTCTAGTGGCTTGGGAGGTTTGGCACCATACTCTTTTCAAAAAGCACTCAAATTAATGTGTTAAATGCTTTCAGTTCCTGCAGCTAAGAAGCCTGTTTATTCCAAATTTATTTGACCACTAAGTCCTTTTTATCACAAACCTATTTAAATAAGCACTTGGAGAAATGCAGAGAAAAAATTATGTTGAACCCATTTTGAAAACTATAAAACTACATGCATTGTTGACCTTATTGGCAGTCAATCATCATCTCAGAGCAAACGGTTCAGATCCTGAGATTTTCTTAGAATCTGAATGCAAGTGTCCCTTGGATTGTTTTCATGCTGGGAAAAAAAGGTTCCTTCTATTTCATTTGCCTCTCCACTGACCACAATATTACAAGATTCCTATGGGGTCTGAAACACTTGAGACGTTGAATTTCAGGATCTCACTGGCAGCTGAAAGGTTTGGAAGTTATTTTGCTTAGAAGAAACATATGCCACATGAGCAAAATATCATGGTTTTGAAAGAAATAACATTTGTGTTTCTTCTGTTGGCAAATATTCCTCAGTGCTGAGAATACAAACTGTCAAATTGTATAAAAATCTGAACTGCTAGAATAAAAGCCAAATAAGACATGGCAAAAAAAAGGGGGGGGGTATAATTTTTTAAAATTAAGTTAATTAAATAGGTAATTGAGCAAATGAATTCTGCTGTCAGGTAAAGAATACTTCCAGTGCATAATATACTCCAGACGCTAAGGAAGAGTGCCTGCCCTCTGAATCTCAGGTACGTTAAGAATCACTTGAGTGCCTAATTGCAAACCCACCATCTCATCAGCTCCCAGAGCAATCAATTCATAGCCCACCGTGGCTGCCTCTTATCCTCAGGATGAAGGATGCCATTCAAGCCTTTCTTGGGACATCCCCTGCTTACTTCTCTGGCTTCATTTCTTACCTCTCCTCTCCCACTTAATGCTTCAGCAATCACCTGGCATTCAAACACATGGCCATTTACAGGACGCCTAGTATGGTCTTCTGGAAATGATGTTGGATTTTAAGATAAGTAGATCCATCTCCTAGTCCAAGCCTTACTACTATCTGACTCCACCATTTAGCCCCAATGAGACTAAATTTCTTCATCTATAATAAAAGGGTATTATTGATGACTGCCCATTCCACCTTCCATAGCCATGGTAAACATCACTAATAAAGTTCTCTTTTCCATCAAGCTGAGATGGAGTCTTAGTATCCTTCTCTACAGTTTTCTGAGCAGCTATTTCCAAATGACTACAACCGGCTAAGGTAAACTTAGAAGTAGGTGGTTGTTAATGTTCTTTTCAGCTGTGTTAAATAATTCTAGATTTTTTAGATAACTGAAATTCTTCTGTTGTATCAGAATATCTGTATTAACATTGAATTTTGTATTGCTGTAGAGTGTAACACTCAAGACTATATCATATAAATACCTTATGTTAAGGTCTAATAAGATAATTTAATATACATTTATCATAAAGTCACAATAAACTCAATTAACATTGTAAAAGCTAGATATGCATATTCAAATTTTAATCTGATTTGAGGTTTCATTTAATTTCAGATGTGAAAATTCATCTCCAGACCACTGATTATGGCAACTTCTTGGCTAATCAAACAAATCCTCTTACTGTTTCCAAAATTGACACGGAGATGAGGAAAAAGCTGTGCAGAGAATTTGAATATTTCCGGAATCATTCCCTGGAACCTCTGAGCACATTTTTTACATACATGACGTAAGTGGTAGCAGGAAGCCTTATTTTTTTTTTAACGTTTATTTATTTTTGAGATGGGAGAGATAGCATGAACGGGGGAGGGTCAGAGAGAGAGGGAGGCACAGAATCTGAAACAGGCCCAGGCTCTGAGCTGTCAGTACAGAGCCTGACGTGGGGCTCAAACTCACGGACCGCGAGATCATGACCTGAGCCACCCAGGCGCCCCAGGAAGCCCTATTAATCCCCATTGTGATTGTGCAAACGACCCTCAACAGTTATAGGTGGGGAACTAGGCTGGCATGAGGCTTAAAACCTTTTCTCATTTGTAAGTTTGAAAAAATTCAAATTTTAGCAACTGATAAGCTCAAAGAGCCACATATTCACTGTTAGAAAACAGATTTATTTATAAACATGATGATGTAAATGGTGGTGGCCCCCACATGAAGCAGCATTTTCAGGGGAACCTGCCTGGCTCGGCCAGTAGAGCATGTGACTCCTGATCTGAGGGTCATGAGTTCAAGCCCCACGTTGGGTGTAAAGCTTAGTTTAAAAAAAAAAAAAAAGGCAGTGTTTTCAGTTTTCATTTTAAAAAATGATAAGTGGTGCTGATGTTGAAGGATTGTGGCTGCTGGCACTGAAGGTAAATATATATGACATTTTTGGATCACTTGTCAGGGTGGAGCTGAAATATCACAAATTGATGTTAAGGCCACATCTACCCTTTTCTGATTCCCCTTGCAACAGCAAAAGTAGCTCCCATCATAGTTATATGTATTTTATTTCTATCATTTTCCATCACCAGTAGCTCCAATCTTTCATTGTGAAGTCCTTTCATTCTAAAAAAAAGTCTGAATTTCCACACAATAATAAATTGTACTCTTATTAACCAGTTAATAAATTATAGACAGTGCTCCAAACTTTGGGCCTCTCCAGTTTTTCTAACTGACAATCTGGGAACAAACATCCGCAATAGATGAGCTGTTTATCATGTGTATACAATTTCATTGTAATATACAAAATTGTGAATACTAGACTGGGCCCTAGACTGGTTTACAAATGTATAAAATAAAAATGTTCCTCTATTTCACATCTCCCCTTCTTCCCTTCTCAGTTCCTTTCCCCCAAAGTAAACACTTCTCTATTTCTTATGTATTTTCTAGAAAAATATTTACATCTGAGTATGTTTATTGGTACACACTCAACCCACCCCACTTCCACATTTCAAATTTATGCAAACGAATCACATTCCTTCTGCACTTTGTTTCCCACCTAATATTTCTCAGAAATACCCTTGTCAACACCATTCTCTTTAAATAACTGCCTAGAAATTCACGTTTGGTATGTATCATGACCCAATTTACATCTATTAACAGAGAATAATTTTTTTTCCATTGTAAAAAGTTTTGTGATTAGCTTATTACTGTGTCAGTCTGGAATTTATTTTTAAGCTAAATTTTTAGCAGTGGAAGTAGTGAATCAAAGAAATGTTCTTTTTTTTTAATTTTGGTAAATTTTGCTAAGTTGTGCTCAACAAAAGTAGCACAAATTTGCACTCCCAAAACAGTGCATGAGAAGACCTGTGGACTGACACCATTACCAACATTGAATATTATCTTTTCAGTTTTTGCCCATCCAATAGGTTACAAATTATATTTTCTGTTTTTGTTTTAATTTGTGTTTATTAGCAAAATTGAAGATCATTTTGTATTTATTAATCATGGGTTTTCTACCTGACCAAATCCTTTGTCCATTTTTTTTATTGGCGTATCCAGCAGTTTTTGTTGATATGTAAGGGCTCTTTATAAATTAAGAAAGTTAGCACTTCATAATATATGTTGCAAAATTATTTTCTTGGGGTGAAGTAATTTTAACTTGTATAGCTTTCTTCCCTGTAGAAACACTGAAAATTTTTAATTAGCTATAATCATCAATCCTTTGATTTGTTGACTTCTGATTGTTGTATCCTACTTAGAAAGTCTTTCTCCACTCCAGATTCATAGGTAAATTTACCTGTCTTTCATTTCATTCATTCATTGTTGTTGATGTTTCTTTTTTTTTCTTTTTAGATATTTCATTTTTTTACATTTAAAACCTTGGTTCAGGGGCGCCTGGGTGGCTCAGTCGGTTAAGCATCTGACTTCAGCTCAGGTCATCATCTTGCAGTGTGTGAGTTCAAGCCCTACATCCAGCTCTGTGCTGACAGCTCAGAGCCTGGAGCCTGCTTCAGATTCTGTGTCTCCTTCTCTCTCTGCTCCTCCCCTGTTTGCACTCTGTCTCTCCTTCTCTTCCAAAAATAAATAAACATTAAATAAATAAATAAATAAATAAATAAATAAATAAACAAATAAATAACCTTGGTTCATGTAGAATTTACTTTATTGTAGGGAACGAGATGAGGGATCCAGCTCAAATTGTTTTTAACCCAATAGCTGTCCAGCTGTTCCTATACCATGTCTATAAATAAGCAAGTAGAAGAAATGAGCATGGTTTGAGGCAAGAAGTAATCGCTGATATACCTGAGACTTGTGGTTAGTGCCAATACACCTTGTTTGTGCAATTAGACTTCCTATCACTGCTGTAGGTTAGGATTTTATTTATAGGCAAGACCCCAAATGCTGATTTTTTTAAGGATCCACAAACACACAGCTAGTCAGAGATGACTATTAGGTGTGAACTTGGATCTGACTCAGTGCAAAGCCCAAGCACTTTCTTTGGGCAGGGTTCTCGGAAGCCTTCCCAGAGGGTCTGACATTGCTGCTGAACCTGGAAATGGGGTAGAATTTGGGGATGAGGAAGAAGGCTGAGCATCTTGGGTTGAAGCATGTAGATGGGAGGGGCACTGCATGTATGTTGAATCACAGGTCAGTTTGGGCAGGAGTAGGCTGTGCCAAAAGGGGAGGAAAGAATGGGGAAGAGAGGTTAGAAAAGTAAGTTCCAGACAGAGTATGCACACTCTTCAGTGGCAGAGGAGAGTATTTTTCAATCTGCAAAATTGAAAGAGAGTATTCTTTTAACTGCAAGATTCTTCCTTTAAAAAAAGGAAGCACCTGGCTGGCTCAGCCGGTAGAGCATGTGACTCTCCATCACGGGGACTTGAGTTTGAGACCCACGTTGGGTGTGGAGCCTACTTAAGAAAAAAATAAAATAAAATATTTTTTAAATAAGAAAAATATGAAGCAGAAAATCAAAATGTAAAAGAGACAAAAGAAGAAGTCAAGTTTGTTCATAGGATTCTTACCTCCTTGCAAGGGTTGAGGTGAAGTACAAAGTGCATGGGCTTGGACTGAATCAGGTCCAGGTTCATATCTAATCTTCAGTGGCTGCCTGATAGAGAAGATTTTTTCCAAGCAGTGATGCCTCCTGCAAAAATGTCTGGCAAGGGTAGTTATGGAGACACCATCAAAGATTCCTCGGCACAAAGACAAGATGGCCCTATCTGTGTGGAAGTAGAAATGGCAGTCAAAATACTAGACAATATTTATGGAATGTTACATATGCCAGGGCTCTGCTAAATGCTTTATAAACATTGTCTCCTTTAAACCTGACAAATCTTAGTTCTTATCATCACCATTTTAAGGATGAGGAAACTAAAATTTAAGTGCAGTAGCTTGCCTGGGTCACAGATCAAGTGGCGGAGTTATACTTTAAAATAAATGTTAGCAGTAGGCTTTGCAAACGTATTTTGCTCAGATTTTAGATGAATCAAGAAAATCTGACCCATGATAATGACAGAGGACAGTCCAATTTTAATGGAGTCAGAAAGCTGCCAGGTTGAGAGACAGAGCTCACGTGACAGAAACTTGCTCAAAATATATTAGAAAGTGCTCTAGCCCTAAGAGTGACTCTGAGTCACTTGGTCAATGTTTCCTCTTATGTGATGACTCCATGATTTAGTGCTTCCTAATTATAGAATCTTAAACCTGGACAAGGCCTTAACGTTAATTAAGCAAGCATGTTTATTTCACAACAAACATGTTGATCTAGTTAAAATGTACTCTGTTTCTAATACAAAATTACTTAAAATTCCAAGTATTTCTATCATTAACAATGTTTAAAAACTATATATAAGAATATAGGTGGTCACAAAGCCCTGCATAGACTATTAATGCAAACTGAAAGTGGAGAGGTAGTTTGGGTACTATCAGTATTGTTAGTGGTGTTAGTAATGGACATGTTTTAATTTATCTACTCTCTTGGCTATAAGTTCTTTTTTTTTAAAGTTTTTATTTATTTATTTTGAGAGAGAGATACGGAGAGAGAGAGAGAGAGAGTGGGGGAAGGGCAGAGAGAGAAGGAGAGAGAGAATCCCAAGCAGGCTGTCCGCGCGGAGCCTGAAGCAGGGCTTGAACCTACAAATCACAAGATAATGACCAGAGCCGAAATCCAGAGTCAGATGCTCAATGGATTGAACCCCTTGGCTATAAACTCATTAAATTAGTTCTTTTCATATCTCTATCTGTACTTCCTAGTATGTAATGGGCACTGAATATTTGTGGAATCAATATATAATTCCGTATTTAGCAGCACCTTACACAGAGCTATAAAATACTTCTAGACAACTCAGGATTTTATATTTTATATAGCACTTGAATATTGGTTATTTGCTGGCCAATATGTTAGGTATAAAAACCAGGGGTCATGCCTGAAGATACATTTTTGTATGACAGGTGAGTGTTTAAAGTATTTTTTAAAAATATATTTAGTCGAGGCTTGCATTCTTTAATTAGCCACAGTCTCTAATACTCCCCTATCGCCTTATCATCCTCTGATCTGTCTTGTGTCTTCTCAATCTCATTCCATGATTCGTCCCACCGCATCATGTGAGTTGCCAGGCTAGGCAGCATCCAACTGCTCTGTGCAGAATCTAGAGATGTGTTACCATAACAAGAGGTGTATATATGAAAAAGAGTACTAAAAAAAAGAGAGAGAGAGAGAGAGAGTCCTAAAACTACTTTTCTTATTTCTCTTCTAGAATGTTTTGTGAAGTCAGGTGTCTAACTAGCACCCATGAACTTCCATAA